CTGATTTAATTGAAGTCCAGCCGCTGGACCATCCCACCCCAGTTCGTTTGGACCCTTTTCTAAATCGGTTTAATTTTGAACATGTTCAAACCAATTTAGTACATTTTGAAAGGCCATATCTTTTTCAATTGGACTTCGATTTAGTCCATTCAAAAACCGACGGACTCTATTTTACGAGCGCTATCAAATTATAGTTTGAGAATCAAGTTTTTGGTAATTTTGAAGAAAGTCAGTCTTCGGTTCAAAACGTTCCTGTGTCAAAGAAGCCATTATTAAAACCTCGGATACCTTGTTATTAGCATCATCCTTTCAACAAGTGCGTTAATTTCATAATTCCAGATTTAGTCATTTTAGAGATAAATTCTAATCACAAAATTAAAGGGTCACGACTTTTAATGATCTCTAGATAATTTGTAAGGGGAGGTTCTGCTATGCAATTCTTTAATAATTTTGGGAATCAGATTATTTTTTTCAAGCCAAAAGAAATGTATATTTCTCCATACAACAAGAAGGCTTATCGACATGGATATTTGAATCAATATTACTCTAGTCGATTTTCTAGAGAGATAAGTAATATTTTCAATTTTTTTTTACTTTCAAATAAAGTAGTGGTGGTATTTAGTATTATTTTTGTTACTAGTATACCGTGTTACATTAAACATTCCTCACAATTATAGCAGTTGGTAGTATTATTAAATTTTCTCATGGCTAGTAAAGGAGGTGGAGATATTTTTAAGGTAGAAAAATTGAACGGTATAAATTATCGTATGTGGAAGCATAAATCACTTACATGCTCACACATGAGAAAACCTATTACATAGTCAATACAACAAAGCCCAAATAAAATGTTACATATTCTAAACAAATAAATTGGTTGGAGGAAGATAATGATCTAGCCCAAGCCTCAATTCTATTTAGCATGCAAGATGATTTAATTCCCCTTTATGACGATTTTAAAACTGCTAAGAAAATTATGGATGCACTCGAGACTAAGTAAGGTCTTGTATCTGATATGCATATACGATTGCTATTAGATAAGTTTAATGGGATGCATATGTCCGAGGGCAATAAAGTGATGGATTATGTACCTCAAATGGAATTACTTACAAATGATTGATTAACTGCTGGACATCCATTTACTGAAAAGATGCAAGTGACCACTATTCTTAATGACCTACCAAATTCATGGAATCATGTGGTTACTTCTTTGACCTATGGAGGAAAAGATTTAACTATGATCACATTACCAACCATATTGGCACTTGAGGAGGAATGAAAGAATAGAAAAAGAAAAGATAATGATAGTGGAAAATTGTTGATCGTTGAGGCATCTGTATCAAAACCGGAAGTGCAACACAAGAAACAAAGGAAATGGAAGAAAAATGGAAAACAATGGTTCAAATTCAAAAAGTTCAACAACAAAAGCAAATGGACGTGTTTCGCTTGTGGATAAAAAGGGCATTTCAAAGCAAATGTTTGAACAAGCAAAAGGGCAAGCAAAATGAGGCAGTTATATGACTATTTTTGAAGTGATGCTACTTGAAGATTCAAAAGAACAATGGTGGATTGACTCTGGTGCAACTAGACACATTGCGAGGGACAAAGAGAGCTTCTCAGAAATCAATGAAAAGGCACCAAGTGAGCATCGTATTTACATGGAAAACAATACATATTGTGATGTCCTAGGAGAATTCAAAATTGATATATATTATTTACGAAATAAGACCGAATTGTTTTTACCTATTTTCTAAACCTTGTTTGAGTGTGGGAGGAATGTTGCTACAGAACTTATTGCTCGCCCCCTACAAACTATATTTTCAGATTGTGGCCTAGAGGAAGAGCTCGGGGTTGAGGAGCCAACACATTGGGAAGCTCCACTAGACGGACTCGTGGATCCCGAGGTGGATGTCTAGGGTTATATCCCTCCTAGATGCTAGACTAGGGGATTTCTTTTGATGTTATGTAAAGACTAAACTTTTGTTATTCCGCTGCAAATTTGAATGTAATTCTTTTGGGGATGTAATTATCACAGTCGATATTATATTCTTTTGGAAATGATATGATAATTGCTACTTTTGATGAATGAAAGTTTCTTTATTGGTGCATTTATTTAGTTGCTCTCATGAGGTGAATGATTTTAAATTGTAATGTCGTCCAAGGTGGTTTTTGGGGCGTTACAATTCTATTAATCAGAAATTGGAGTTACACTGTCAAGAGAGGGAACTAAAAACAAAAGAGCAGACTCCCTCCGTACAATAATAACATCCTTACAATTAATTGCAAATCTAGCTGAAACTTATGGAATAGTTCCATGAGTTATTAGCTGCACCATGTTATATATGCATTTACTCCAAAAATTCTAAAATTGTTCTCAGAAATTTGGTGGTTGGCCTGTCAAATTGATTCCTCTGCATAGGTTTTTTCATTCTTAACCAAAAAGGGTCTGATCCTACAGCTTTGCATGAATTAGGAATCATATTATTTAAGTAATGGAATATTTGGACCTTATGAATTAATTTGAAAGTCTCTGAGCTTTACTTAGTTGACCCAAAGTGGTGTTTTAGTTGGTATTAGAGATATGATATGATAAAAAAAATTCATCAATGCTTAGATAGAAATGCAATAAAATTCAAAGAGACCATTAATATTTAGGTTGTTTAGATAAATATCGATAATGATTAATTAATGGGCTTTTTATCCAATAGTACTCATTGTCTTGTGAAAACTTTGTTTTCTTGAGGTTAAAGGTTCAAGTTTCCCCTCCATTAAAAAATAAAAAAGAAAAAAAAAGATAATTATTAGACTTGCGTGATCGATACGTATATTTATCATATGTAATTCTCACAATATAAATAAGATTGAGTCTCACACAATAAATAATTGAAGAATAATATATCGATGTAACTCATAGAGCAATGGGTCTGTGGATATAGGTCTTATAGACCGAACCGCGTTAATTCGTTTGTGCTTAATTTCTCATTCATATTATGAATTTCTTGATGTCTCTTTAGATCTTTTCATATTTTTACCTACATATTGATGAATTTCTTTTAATACTATCATATCTCTAATAATTGGCTGATAGTTGAGGCCATTTAAGGTGGTATTTGATCATAAAGTTCAAAATCAAATATTGAAAAGTGAATCATAAATTTTAAGAGTTGAATGTTAAAGTTTTATTCTACAATTGTTTGGTATGTATTAAAATTTGAATCATTGGTTTTAATGAAATATTTAGATTAATATAAGGAGTTGAATGTTGAATATTATTATTCTCCAATTTTGTCCTTCCACACCACTACCTCTATCCCATCCCAATACCACCCCAATACAAACATTGCCACAACCATTACCACCCTACTATCGCCACCACAACCCTACCACTGTCTCTGTGACCACCCGGGTAGTTGTGGGGGAAGTGGCAAAATGACGTTGGTGGTAATGGTGGTGGGGTGGTATGGGGTGATGGTAATGATAGGGTACTAGAAGGGTTGTGGCAAATGATGGTAGGGTAATGGTGGTCGGATTATGGCCATACTGATGCTAGTGGAGGTGGAGTTTTGGGGATGACAATGGTTCTCGAGTTGTGGTAGTGGCGATTGTGGTTGGGTGATGGTGTTGGTGGCAACAGTAGGTGGAGATAATAGCGACAATGATGGAAGCAATGTGACACTGCTGATTTTGAGATGATAATGGTAGTGGTTGGTGAGTGGTGATGATGGTGAAAGTGGTGGTGGGTTGTGGAGAGTTGGGGCTTGATAGATCTAGTTTAAAATATTTGATGATTAATTTGTACATTATAAAAAATTTAAACACTATATTCATCGATAACTTCAGCATTTAGTGAAAAGTAAAACTTTGCCACTTTAATATATATATTTTTTTAATAAATATTTTAAATTATAAATAAACTTGAGTAATAATTAACAAAAACACTCGGTACAAAATGTATGTAATAGTATCAATTTTAAGTGGGCAAGCAACCGTTGGAGATTCTTAAAAAGCTTATCAAAATATATATATGAAGAAGGCAGGCTAGTGGTTTTAGGTGAAGTTGCCATTATTGATAGGGTGTTGAAAATGTATAATAATAAAATGATAGGATGTTGAAAATGTAAATTAATAAAATGATAGTGTTGAAAATGTAAAATAATAAAATGATTGGTGCATACACACCCAATAAATTATAACTTAACCCCCAAAAGATTATTACTTGAATATCAAAAATTATAACATGACCCTATAAAATTGTATTTTTTTAGGATCGGTTCTAGTATTTTGTGATCAATTTTAAACTTTTTTTGTTGTATTTAGACCCTCGAAACTTATATCTTAGCCAACAAAAATAATAAACTTATGGTACCTCTTTTGTTCCGAAGTCAAATCTTATTGATTGGATTAGGGAGGAGATTAATTGAAGTGCATATAAGTTGATCCAGATACTGTTAACCATTGAACTTAAAAAAATTATTGCGAAGGTCAGCAAGAGGACGGTAATTCTTAGCAAAATCACCTTGTACATGGCCCAGCCCGATGGCCAAGCTTCAATCGGGTCATCGTTCAGATATTCGCCCATCATCTGGAGGGGCTAGTGACGGTCTATTAGCCCAGCAGTCGAACTTTGGCTGCATTGTTGGCCCACCTCAATAGATGGGCTAGAAGGCCCAAAATGACATGTAGAGAAGGCCCATGGCCCACAAAAATTTAAAGTTATTTCATTAATTTACAAAAAAAAAAAACAGATTTTATGACCTGATTTAAACTTGACTACTCTCATACCTTAATAAAACGAATATTGTTTTTGTTTTTAGCTACAAAAATGCCTTTATTTTTCATGACAAAATGATCATATATCTAATCTACTAGATACGAGAAAATTTAATTATTAATTTGATAGCTTGATATTGTTACATTAATTCCTCCAAACCAAGCAAAATACTAGGTTAAGACACATCATATCATTACCGAATTTGATATAATATGAGATATTTTACTAAATCTCAACATTCCGGTAAATCGGACGGTGGCCGGACCATTTTAGTCCGAGGAGTTGCACCATCTTTAACTATGAACACCATACCCATCCCCCAGCTCTGGTGTCGCTCTAGATGGCAATGCATCAACCACACACCTGCATAATTGCAATAATGTCACATCATATACGTTTGGAAATTCGGTCTAAATCTCCTCCCATACACGTTTTCTCGGTTTATCTATAAACTAAATCATTCATCATGTACCGTAAGGAACCTAATTATATATATGTCTCAAGTATCAAAATTTTATTTTGATGTATAATTTCAATCAATTTGAAAATCAAAACGTTCGAAAAATGTTTCAAGAAGAACTTAAAATTTTTATATTCGAACATTTTAAAACATGTGTTAAATCATTTTGAAATATCTCAAAATACTCCAAATCATAAAAATTTCAATATTCAATCAACGTCGTATTTCAATTACTCCACTAAAAAGTTTTTGTTTTGGGTGAAAACGAAACGAAATTTTGATCCTTCTCACTCCAATACCCTTGCCCTGAAGTATAATTGAAAAAATTAAGAAAAAATGTAGGGGAATGTATATATATATATATATATATATATATAGAGAGAGAGAGAGAGAGAGAGAGAGAGAGAACAAAACTAAATTATGATTCAAAAAAACTTACCTGGATTATCTGCCCTAAATCTTAAGGCCACCCATCCATTGTTGGGAATTCCAACAGTAGTTTCTTCAGGGGGATCAACAAGATTATACCTTAAAGGGTCCTTTATAGGGTCAAAATTCCCAAAGCCCCAACCAACAACATAGAAGCTATATCCATGCAAATGAATGGGATGGTTGTCACTTGCTAGCACATTAGTCCCTTGCAAAATCAACTCAACACCAGCATTGTACTCCAAAACCACTACCCTAGTACCAAACTCCGGCACCAGAAGATTTTCAGGTAGTTTTTTTCCGGTGTAATCGAATTTCCGAGGTGGGTTTATCGGAAAATCCTCCTTGAAAACATCATGAATTCCATAATAGTAAGCTCTTAGCACATCAATAGATAGTGGTATCACAAAGCTGATGTTATTAATACTAGCTGAGAACCTTTTACCAAAGGGACCATTGCATGGTTTTTGAGTACTACATTTTAGTAAATTCACAGAAACAGTGAAAAACAGATGTTTTTCCACAGTTAATGGACTTTGGAAGGGTGTTCTTCAGTTGCAAGGCTCCTTAATTGTCTCGTGAACTCAGTTGACCTTCGTGTGGCATTAAAAGGAGGGAGACGAGGGAAAAAAGGCAATGGGGTCGGGTCGTATGATTGTCGATATTGCACGATTGCTGTGGTGGTTGTGGTGTCAAAATGAGCCCCAAAGGTACTGGAATATGATCTAGCAGCCATGTAGTAGAGGCTAGGAGGTTGGTTTGCTTGTAGGAGGACATCCATGGACTGGCCTGGTGTGATCATTATGTGATCTGTTTTGAAGGGTTTTGTGTAGCATCCATATGTTCCTAGTAGGATTAATTTGTGTTTGGCAATGGAGAAGAAGAGATTTTCATCCATGACTGCACTAACTATCCGAAGGAGATAGGTCTTTCCTTGCTCCACTGTTATTTTGAATGTGTCTGTAAGAATGGGAAAGGATAAAGTTTAGGATTCTTTCTGTAGATAAAGCGGACAATGTTGGTTCATCTACTCCAAAAATCAATCGGTAATGGGTGATGTGATCCGTCAAGTATATAAACTAACTTTAATGGTCTTAATTATTTAATGTAAGATACAAGCTCTTTTAACCACATCTCTCATATGAGATTAGGGATGGCGGTATACCGAAGCGGGGGTGGAGGGTATAGTCTTCATTTCCGTACCTACTTAAAAAAATCTGTCCGTCTCCGATTCAACCCATTAACAGGTATATTTTTCATCCCTATTCCCTTTTTCATCTCTGTACGAGTTTATATAAGTATCCTTATATATGTCTACCATCCAATACGTATGGTCTATCCCCAGTCCAAATGAGACGGGTTTGGACAAATACCCATTTTTATCCAGTTCATTGCCATCCCTACGTGAGACTTTGACTCAAACGTGGGGTTAACCCACAAACAAACAATAATTCATACCAAAAAATTCAAATAAGCAAGAGAGTTGACTCTGTTTTGATATCATGTTAGATCATCTCCAAAATCAATTGGCAATCGCTAAAATGACCCCCAAAGTATATAAACCAACCTGATACTAATTATTTAATGTGGAATACAAGTTCTCTTACTATGACGTAGGCTATAGTTCTATTTTTTGTCTCTAAAATAAATCCATTTTTTTTCTCTCTTTCGTTATGCATTAAGGAGATTTGTATTAGATTTTTAGGACGAAAAATACTAAAACATTTTAAAAGAGAAAGGATATTACTATTTTTATACTAAATTGTAAACTCATGAGTTGTTGCACTTTGGGTTAAAAATATGGGCTTATGTATGTAAGTTTAAATATAAGTGTGCGTGCTAGATCTTGCACAATATAAAAACGAGAACAGATCTCTCCCTTGGTGAACTCGAGTGAGTCAGTTGAGTTGTCGACCACGCTGCTTGGAACAGCCTGTGAGATCCGGTGGTAACCTGGAACGGTAATGGAAGACCCTCGCGAATCAAAGGAACGATCCAGTAAGGCTGAAGAAAGGTTCCTGGAACAAAGAAGAACAAGTTAGAAGGGCGCCAGAGTGTTTTCCGGTGTATCTCCTCCGACTATCAAGTCAGTTTTTGAGAGAGAGAGGAAGAAGAAAATACTGAGTATATTTTGTAGCAAAAGTTTCACCCCTCGTTCTTGCCTTTAGTGAGGAGTATTTATACCTCAAATACTCATGATTGTTGTCAGTGTGGTCAGTAGGTGATCATTAGATACAGGCAACGTGCGCACTGATTCCTATGAGGAATGTCTTCTCTCTTAACTGCTCGGGACCCCGAACAATCAAGTCTGTGTCATCGGCCTGCCGACGGTTCAATGAGCTCCTCTCGGGAAGGATGCAATAAATGTCCAGCCTTAGAGACATTTATTGCCTTTCATTTCTGAGCCTTACCACATTGAATGCAGTCTCATCAAGGGAATTGTGTAATTAAATGCTTGTTTTCCCAAGTCGCGTGTCAGCAAGGTCACGCGGTCTTTCTGTCTCTGATGTGACACAATATGCCACGCGTCCATTCCTCATTGGCTGTGGCCCCTGCCTTCCTGTGCCTTCTGACATCAATTGTGTAAGACGAGGTCATGATAGCGAACCTAGCCTAGTCTAGGCTAGTGACCAGTGCATCAATAATTTCTGCTGGAGCAGAGAACTTCATCATAGATGAGAGGGGGGTACATCTCAGTACCGAGGAAGAGGTACATCTCAGAACCGAGGAAGAGGTACATCTCGGAACCGAGGAAGAGATACATCTTGAATCCGAGAGGGGAGAGCCTAGCGACCGATGTACCATATCAGACCAAGGGTACGTGTCGGTACATAAAAACGTACTGGATACCACTCGATCCCATGATAAGTACCTCGGGGTATAGGGGACTTGTGACCCCGATGGGTACGTGATCTCGATAAACAAGGATCAGTGACACCGAGGACACGTGTTTTCATCTTGGAGTATTTCGAAAATGTCCCATCAATAAGGAAGTAGTGTTACTGATTAAAAACAGTATTTATGCAAAAAAAAAAAAAAAAGAGAGAGAGAGGAAGACATGGTGCTCTGCTAATCATGTTATAATGGAGCAATCTTGTTATCGTGTCCGCCTTTGTAACTCCGTGAAGAAACACATATCTTGCTAATAACGCAAGTTTAAGACATAAGTACCTTGTTTGGAGCATGGATAGAGATCTCCCGGCTGCCCATTGATGGTGTAGGCATCAGAAAGTAAGGGTTCTCCTCCTGTTTTATTTGCATTTCCTGGTATTTCCATGACATCTTTCTTCCACCATTCTCCTACAGCGAATGAACATAGGCCATGTAGAATTGGTAAAAAAAAACGCAACTGAAATTCTTGCAAATTAAGTATCAAATTAACTACCCATAAATTTCCAGTAATCGACGAGTTTGAAATTTATGGGTAAGATAATCAAATTGATTAATACAGTTGTAGAAGGTTTCAAAATTGCACATGTGTAATCATTACATTTGAACTTCTATGAATCTTATTTATTTGACGGATTCAGCAGTCCACCCATAAAAAATTGGTGAAGATAAATATAAATCTATTAACTAAGTGTCGATTTAGTATCGGATTACGGGTTGTATTTAAAATTAACATGCATAACATTCATGTTGCTAATCAAAGTACCTAGAATGATTGGAACCTCGGAGTATGGTTTGGGAAAGGGATAATGAGCTCCATGGATTGGATAAACAATGATCATTCCATGAACAGTTGCTCTTGCCCACCCACTGTGTGCATGCCACCATATTGTTCCTTCTTCTGTAGTCAAATGGAACTTGTAGGTGTACCTCTTCCCTGGCCTAATGGGACACTGAGTGATATATTCAGCCCCATCTGACCATGGATTTCTTCTTTGTCTCACTCCATGCCTGCAATTTTCTTGAATAATAAGGTAAAAGCAACATGATATGAACATAAACATAAACTAAATGATACGATGCTGATGAGACTAGAAAAATTTAAAATTTAAGTGAATAAAAATGAGATCAAAATTAAGCGTCACCATCCTCATGTCGTGATTGTCATTTTGAGTCGTGTTTGTGCAATTTTATTGTAGTTTTTCGAATCTACCTAATCCATATTCTAACGAAAGGGGAGCATTGAGGATCGTGCAAAAAAGTTGATATTTTTTGAAGAAAAAAAAAAGTAAGATGAATTTTATAATATTATATAAAAGTAAATGACGATTGAATCAATCTTGACCGTTGTTGTATTTTTATAAGTTGAGTATTTAATAGGAAGATTCATTCTGAGTCATTCAACTAAACGAAAAAAAAAAAGCCTAAACAAAATCTATAATTGTTGAGAGGGCAATGTACAATTGATCCTAATTTCAAGAAATTTTGTTGTAATTAACCTTATAATTTACCCAAAGAATTTGTGTTTTTTGGATATAAAATGGTAGATCACAATTACAACAAAGAAATAATAATTATAGATTGAAAAAATGTCATCTACACCCCTTTTAGTTTACCATATCTTTAAGGACACTCTCTCTATTATCAAAAATATCATTGATACCTCTTCTAGTTTATATTTAAATATCACTAACACCTCTTGCCATTAAATCACTATTTATAAAAAAAAAATTATTTAAAATACCAAAATTGCTCCTACATAAACCCCAAACAATTTTTCTACATAAAATTTGATTCGATTAAAATTTATTTTTTTTACATATCAAAATTCGAGTTGATTAATTTTTTTTTACATAAAAATTCAATTCGAATTGATTAAATTTTATTTTTTTAAGTATTAAAATTAGAGCCTATTAAAAGTCTTTTTTTACGTGTTAAAATTCGTGCCAATTTGAGCTTTACTTGAACTGTTACTCTCGATTAAAATTATCTTCGAATAGATTAAAATTTATATTTTTTATTTATTAAAATTCGATTCAAGTTGATTCAAATATGAATCGATTAAAATTTATATTTTTTATGTATCAAATTCGGGCCGATTAAAATTTAATATGAGTTAATTAAAATTTGATTTGAGCCTTGAATAAAATTTTAATCTGCTAAAATTTTAATAAATAAAAAAATATAATTTTTAATCTACTCAAATTTTAATACATAAAAAATAAATTTTAATTAGCTTAAATCGAATTTTAATCAGTCCTAATTTTAATACGTAAAAAAAATTAGAAAATAAATGAGTCTTATTGAAAATATATCTATCTAGAGAGGGTGTAGAAGAAGTTTTTACTAAAATATATCATAGGTAATTTAGTAAAATTACATTCTAATTAACACCTTTAATCTAATTAAAAATATCAGTGAAAATTCAAAAAATAGAAGGGGTATCTTGAAGATATGATAAATTAGAAGTGAGTGCGACTAAAATTTTCCCTTATAAATTTTATATAATGCACAAATAGTAGACAACAAAGAACACGTAGTGAAGAAAAACTTGAAATAAGCCACAATAGAACCCGAAATAGAGGAATATAAGAAATTAGGGGTTGTCTATGGTACCAAAAAAATAAATAAATTTTGATATCGTACCAATATTTATTATATATTTGTAGGTATTTTTATAAATATTGAGGCATTAAAAAGATAATAAAAGTAATTATCATAACAATCATAAAAACACCCTGAAAAATGACAAATCACACACAAAATTGATAAATTTTTTGTTATACACTGACCCAAAAAATTGGTATGATACCAATTTTTTTTTTTTGGATACTATAGTCAAATCCATGAAATTAAAGTCTTATACTTTGCCAGAATTGACTCGCTCACCAGCCCCAGTTGATTAAAAGACTGTCTTTTCCTATGACCACTTTTGGTGATGCTTGTTTGTAAGAATGACTAGGTAATGTTAGAGACAAAAGCCCTAATATTGTTAGGGGTTAATCACCGATTGCACTTCGAAAGATTGTTCAAATTTTAATTTATATTTTTAAAAATTAAAAATTTTAATTTATACCCTTAAACAAGAAGGCGAGGATAAGGCTTTGGATGACCTTATTTGCTCCCTTAGCTCCTTGAGTTGATGAGCTTGACCGGGTTGATCATACTGAGCTAGATTTGTTGGATCTCTTAGAGTTGGGGCCCTTGGACTTGTAACATGAGTTGGACCCTTGGGATTGGCTCATCATTTGCCCCCCAATGCCTTGTGTCCAATTGAACTTGGAAAGGAGGGCATTCGATTAAGTTCGAATTTTTGGGTGACCGACACAATTGAAAAAACTTTGGGAGGCCAAAACATATGCTTTCAAGCCCTTTTTGGACTTTTTACAATATCGTTCACAGCCTTTAGCTTTGGGTCTTGTAGGGCTCGCCGAGAGCTTCGATTTGATATATAATATGCCCCTATTTGGAATTACAGAGCAAAATTTTCGGTCAAAATAGCGAGTAGGCGCCTTGGGCGAGCAGCAGCTTCTGGGCGAGCCTTGGGCGTCTTGGATGAGCCTGGGGGCTGCCTTGGGTGCCTTAGTCGAGCCTGGGGCTGTCTTGGGCGAGTAAGAGGCTTTGGGCGCCCCTTTTGGTGTTGATTTGAGGAGTTTGGGTATCGTTGGGCGCATAGCTGGGGTGAGCTCCCTTGGGCGCACAGTTGGGGTGAGCATGGTAAAGGGTTGGGCGCCCCATTGAGCACGCTAGGCAGCTCTGGCAAGCTGTGTCGCTCTGATTGGCGTGCAGGGGGTTGTCTGGGTGCTAAAGGTGTTGGACTAGACCACCTGGGCACTGAAGATGTTGTAGGCACTGATCTGGGCGCCACTTCAGGGGCTGATCTAAATGCCATAGGCGCTGTTTTATGCAACTTTAGAGGGTTAGACGGCACTGGGCTGCCCCGTTTAAGTGAACAGAGAGGGTCAGACACCTTTCCAGGTGTTAGGTTGCTCCATTTGGGCGAGCAAAGGTGGTCAGACACCTATAAAGGTGTTAGGATGCGTCATTTGGACGAGAATAGGGTGTCAGACACCTTTCCAGGTTTTGGGCGGCCTTTTTTGGACAAACAGAGGGGGTTAGGCATCTTTCAAGGTGTTGGGCTGCCTCATTTGGGCGCTTAGGAGGTGTTGGATGCTTGGGAGGTGTTGGGCGCCTACGGAGTAGAGCTGGGCGCCTGTGTTGGGTGCTAGGCGCTTGTGCTAGGTGTCTGGGAGGTGTTGGGTGCCTTGGATGAGCTTGAGACTGCCTTGGGAGAGCCTGGCTAGAGATGAAAAAAATAATATTATTCCAAACATTAAAATATCTAACATGATTACCTAGAGAGAGAGGCAGACTGCTTGCGTGAGAACAGAGGTAGAGTTTGAAAATTGCTCGTGAGAGAGCTGCACCATTTGAAACTGAGCTTTTGGTGACCCATGAGAAAGTCTTTAAGCTTGAGGTACAGGCTACCTGTTTGAGAATAGTGCAGAGGCCAAGCATTTGACAACCTGCGAGAGATCTGCTAAGCTAGAGATATAGGTTACCTGTTTGAGAAAAGTGCAGAGACCAATCTTTTGACGACCCGTGAAAGAGCCACTAAGCTGGAGATGTAGGCTGCCTATTTGAGAACAGTGCAGAGGTAAAGCTTTTTTGGAGACCCGCGAGAGAGCCGCTAAGCTGAAGATAGGCTGCCTGTTTGAGAACAGTGCAGATGTCAAGTTTTTTTGGAGACCTGCGAGAGAGTTGCTAAGCTGAAGATAAGCTGCCTGTTTGAGAACAGTGCGGAGGCTAAACTTTTTTGGCAACTTGCGAGAGAACCGTTATGTTAGAAATAGACTGTCTGTTTGAGAACAGTGCAGAGGTCAAACTTTTTTGTAGATCAACGAGAGAGCCGCTAAGCTGAAGATAGACTGCCTATTTGAGAATAGTGTGGAGGCCAAGCTTTTTTGGCGACCCGCAAGAAAGCCGCTAAATTGGAAATAAACTGCCTGTTTGAGAATAGTGCGGAGACCAAATTTTTTTGGCGATCCACGAGAGAGCCGCTAAGTTAAAAATAGGCTGCTTGTTTGAGAATAGTGCAGAAGCAGGTCAAGCTTTTGGTGATCCATGAGATGATTCACCTCGCCTGAACCTGTTAATTTCTTCAGCATTCATATATTTTTGAGCTTTTGTCAATAGTTCTGACATGTTCTTTGGTGGTCGCTTCATTACTGAGAAGAGGAAGTTTGATGACCGGAGGTCTCCCAAGAAGGCGATCATTGTCACTTTATTGTCAAGCTCATCAACTTGGAGTACCTTCTCATTAAAAAGAGTGAGGTATTTCCTCAGACTCTCATCTCGGTCCTGCTTTATACTAAGTAGGTAGGGTGTTGACCATCTCCAAGGCGGCGAGGATAAGGTTTTGGATAACCTTGTTTGCTCCCTTAGCTTCTTGAGTTGATGAGCTTGACCTAGTTGACTATACTGAGCTAGATTCGCTGGATCTCTTGGAGTTAGGGCCCTTGGGCTTGGCTTATTACAAACTTAAGTGTAAAGTCCCCGTATATATAGTCAAACAAGAAAAGTACAATAAGGGTAAAAAGTTAGAAAAAAGATAAAAAGGGCAAAACTCTAATAAACTAGGCTATAACTCCAACCTTTAAATGTGTATTTTGGGTCATTACAAAAGAGTCCGGTTAAATTCTTTCTTTCATAAGCTTGATGTAGTAGAAAACCAAAAGTTATCAATTTCAAAAGTAGGTGGCCACATGGTGCCTTTTGATGTTCTATGATGAAGATTGGTGGAGTCCCATTGTCTTGTAAAATAATACTTCTTGTTTTGCTTATGGCCAGCTAGAAGAAGTGCTTCTGGTTTTGTTATTTCAGAAGCAAATGAATGATTTGAAATACATTCATTGAAAAACTGTAAGATTCAAAAAAATTGGGTGGCCGTCGTCAATTGTTTATTCTTGGCACCCAACTTTAGTAGGTTTAAAAGAAGCATCAGCTTGCTTCTTACAGGGAAATGGTGAGATCCACTAGTTTATGATAAAATAAGTCTCCCAATCAACACCAACGACAATGGAAGAAACAATGAGTTCACCAAGTCTCCAATATTGAGCAATTTGTATGGAAGCTTAATTGGATGTACTAGTATGAGCAGAAATGAAGTACACAGGAACGGATATTGGAAATTTCATGGTATACCTAGGCAAACCAGTATGGGAGAAACTATTAGTGTGCTAAACGTGACAAAAGTTTTTATCATTTAATTTTACCTAATCTTGAAATATTTTGTACTTTTTGATTCTGTTTGTTAATTACTCCAAATAAATAAAAGAAAGCAGTCTACTTTTTGTGACCTTGCACACTCCCCACAAGTTCCCAATTTTTTATTCTTAAAAAAATGGTGTGAAGGATGACTGAACTGTAGTTTCAAAGAGATTTGACGCACAGTAGTTGATGCAAGATCCTGCAGATCGGTTTGTATATATTATTACAACCCTTATTGTAAGTTTTCTTAATTAAAATTACCTCGAGGGTGGGTTGTGATTTAGCAGTTTTTCATTTATCTATAGACTGGCTTTATTGATACAAAATTGGATTATCCTTTCAGATGATTAATGCATGAAGAAAACTAAGGAAAACACTCTCTCTCCCTCCTTTTTTCTTGTGGTTTTTGGTATCTCTTGTGTTTTATTTTGTTCTGTTTTCTCTTTTCAAAGTCTTCCCTCCTTTCTTAGATTTCATTTGTCCTTGTTTCTTTATTTATCTCTGTGTAATTCTCTGACATCTTTATGCAGTTTTCATTTATGTGCATACCAACATTCAAGTGAAATTATAGTTGAAATCTCACAGTTACATATATTTGTTCATATTTCCTTTCCATTGGCAAATATTTTTGGTACTTGGGGTTAATTATCCATAATGAGGAAGGGGGAGATTCGAGGCAATGTTAATTAGAGAATTAAAGTAAGATGGACTATTGTGGAGGAATGCACCTGGTGCAATTTTGTGATTGGAGGATACCACTTAGGTTGAAAGCTAAGTTTTACAAAACATTCATTAGACCCGCAGTGCTTGATGGTACGGATTGTCATGCAATTAAGAAACAACACGCCCAAATTAAGTGTTGCAAAAATGGTGATGTGAAGATGGATATAATGAGTGTATTCATGAAAACATAGATGTAGCACCAATTGGAGATAAATTAAGATCGAATCAACTTAGATTATTTGGACATGTTTATAGAAAACCTAGTATTGCACTAGTGATATCATAGAAAACATACTATAGGTAATGCAAGGTAGAGATAGACCGAAATTAACATTGAATTGAAATAGTAAAACAAGATATCATACCCTACGATTTAATAGAAAATATGATCTTTGATAAAAAAAAAAAACAATAGTAAAACAGTGAGTTGAGTTTAGTGTCTTTTCCATTGGACATCTATATTTCATGAATTAAGGAACATGTAAAGATGCTTTTAGGTCAAGAAATTTTGTTGACTTCTTATGTGAATGGATTCACAGCTGTAAAAACTGTAAAGCTGTAGTAGAGTTCTTCAACTAGTGCGGGGGTTGGTGCACCAAATTGACGCAAGACCGGATAGAAGATAATTAGTTGATTGATATAGGAAGTGTCTTTGAACAATATTACTGCCTTTTTCGGTTCTAGAGGTTTTTGGAATAATATTGTATCATTTATCTTTTCGGAATAATGGTTTCTAGGTTGTTTTTATTTGGTTTTTAGGGTCTTATGAAGCTGTAAAGTGGTTTTTTAGTAAAGTTCTCTCTCTCTCTCTCTCTCTCTCTCTCTCTCTCTCCATCTCTCTGTATATGATACGTATATTTATTTACGAACACATTTTTGTTGTCTGTATTTATCTCTATCATCCTCCCCCCGCACAAAACAACAAACACTCCATAAAAAAGCCAGGATGGAAGTTGCATCTGGAAGTTATCCTTAAGTTGTCAGGAAACATTCCTATGTCTCTAACTACTGTGACTACACTTCATCAAGTTCTGTAAGTAGGAAGTTTATGCCTTATTTTGTCACGAATAAAGGCTTTTTTTTTTCTTGTGGGTCAATTTTTTTGGGGTTTATAATGTGGAAAGAGTATGACATTATACTGTATTGCCATGTGGAATGCAGTGATCTGTCAACCAACCATTTGACAGGACCAACTCCAGTCAATGGCTCCTTTCAACTTTTCACTCCTATAAGGTTTGTTTCAAGTTATATATTTTTTCCATGGTAGAATTGGGCTACCCATCATGATTTTATGCTGACTTTCAAGTTCCCATCTTATAGTTTTTCTAATAATTGGAAGCCCCAGTTTCGCCACCACCTTCCGTTTCTCCACCACGATCATCTTCTCCTTCAGGTTTGTTTAAAATCCTTTTACGATTTTTCTGGACAGTAAATGAACTTCATTAGGGTGAATAATTGGTTACAGCTTGATGTACGGAGGTATACAATTCACACCTCCACATAGTACAGGGTTCTCCTGTAATCAACATAGAGAAAAACAAATATATAAGAGGCGCTCTAATGGGAGTACCCTTTACCGCTCTGTTAATCACAATCATGTGGTTAAGAATGCTGTAAACTATCTTCTAAATTGTACAGTTTCCTTATTACTGTTGCATCATGTCCTTGATCAAATGAGAACATCTTCACGCAAGCTCCTGGCTTGCACCAGCTGCTGATTCTGGTTTGAGGATTTGAATTTCAAAGAGACTAGGCTGTCTCTGATAAGCCTGCCTCTCTCCTCCCCTACTATTTTCAGTATGCCCAACTTGTAGAAATTACTAGGTTGCACTATGTTTCTCCAGCATTTTTAACTCCTCCTATTTCTTTGACTCCAAAGTTTTGCTGTGCATAGCATGATACAGTTTGTTGTGGATGACTTGGCTCACTTTTTATTCATCAGTTCTTATAACATTTTATCATTTAAATTTCTTAGTGAACTTAGCCAGTCTGTGTTTTTAAAAGCAACTGCAACAAGAGAGCCATAGAACAAAATTGCTTTTGCATCTGAGTCCTTGGTCAGCATTGGTTGATTTTTTGCTTTTATCATTTGTCTACCATGCATGATCAATAACATTTTTATTTCTAAAAAATAATATGACCTCCATTTTGAACAGTTTGTTCTGAGAATGAAAGAGATCATAGTTTGATTGAATAAATTTCGACTTCAGTGCTGGTTAATTATGGACTGTAGTGCTGGTTTACAATCACAATCTGGTTTTTATTCTGACTAGACAAGGATTTTATACTGTTGAAATCACTGCTGCGTCATAGTCATTGGGGTTGCTTCCAGAGAAAAAATTCATTGATAATTGGAAAACAAAAGTAATCAACTTACTGTAAATATTTTTTGATAATTGGAATGCAAAAACTAATCAACGTGTTGGTTATTCTCAACTTTTATTCTAGTGGGCAATAGTGCCACTAGGGCTATTGCTGGAGGAGTTGCTGCTGGTTCTGCTCTGCTGTTTGCTGCCCCTGCAATGGCTCTTGCTTTGTGGCGACGAAGGAAACCTGAGGATCATTTCTTCGATGTTCCTGGTTAGTGATTCTATTTGGAGGTAGCCTTAAATTGTGTTCTGTGTAATGCATGCTCACTCATTTACTTCTCTTTACAGCTGAAGAGGATCCGGAAGTTCATCTAGGACAGCTCAAGAGGTTCTCTTTGCGTGAACTACAAGTTGCATCAGATAATTTTAGCAACAAAAATATTATTGGTAGAGGTGGATTTGGTAAGGTCTACAAAGGTCGCTTGGCTGATGGTTCTCTGGTGGCTATAAAAAGACAAAAAGAGGAGCGTACTCAAGGTGGGGAGTTGGAGTTCCAAACAGAAGTAGAAATGGCCAGCATGGCTTTGCATCGAAATCTACTTCGTTTACGTGGTTTTTGCATGACACCGACAGAACGGGTGCTTGTTTATCCGTTCATGGTTAATGGAAGTGTTGCATCATGTTTAAGAGGTAAAAGGTTGCTGGCCTCTTGACCTGTTTTATCTTATTAATTTTTTAATTATTCAGGTTGTCCGGTATCTGAAAGTCTAAAACTCTGATTGGCAAAAAATTAGGAAAAATGTTGAAAAGTTTGAAACCCAAAATTTAGGACCTGTCCCAAACTGTGCTTAACACCTACAATGGCATTCTCACGAGCTAATTGACAATTTTTGCAGAGCGAGGTGAATCACAGCCACCACTTGTTTGGCCAATAAGGAAGCGAATTGCACTGGGAGCTGCAAGGGGCCTTGCTTATTTGCATGATCATTGTGACCCGAAGATAATTCACGGTGATGTCAAAGCTGCAAACATATTGTTAGATGAGGAGTTTGAAGCAGTTGTTGGAGACTTTGGGTTGGCCAAACTCGTGGACTACAAGGATACTCATGTCACCACTGCTGTACGTAACTCAATTGGGCATATAGCTCCTGAGTACCTCTCCACCGGAGAGTATTCAGAGAAAACTGATGTTTTTGGATATGGGTTTACGCTTCTTGAACTCATCACTGGGCAGAGGGCTTTCGACCTTGCTCGACTTGCCAATGATGATGATGTCATGTTGCTTGATTGGGTAAGCATTTCTCATCCTCCCATATGTTTGTTATCTTTAGCATATTAGTTGACTCTTTTTATGTTTCAATATTGAGTTGGCTCTCCTGTGAACTTGATTGAATATCGCTAATGGAAAGCAGGTGAATATAGGAGAACTTTTCAACAAAAAAAAAAAATTATTGTTCATGAATCAAAATAAGTCCTTTTTCTGGATGTTTACGTGTGGAATGTCGCCCTGCCCTATCACACAAACAAAAGTTACAATCGTTTGTATCCAAAGACATTGTTCACTGCAATGATAATTGCGAGATGGCTTTTCTAACCCGAAGATCCATTGCTTCATGTGGACCTCTATCGATCTCTATGGATACTTTAATTGTTGTTAAAATTTCAGGTAACGGGACTTCTGAAGAAAAAGAAGTTGGTAACATTGGTTGACGCCGATCTTCAAGGTAATTATGTTGATGAAGAGGTGGAGCAGCTAATACAGGTAGCTTTGCTCTGCACACAGACTTCCCCAATGCAACGCCCCAAGATGTCAGACGTGGTTAGGATGCTTGAAGGTGATGGCTTGGCGGAGAGGTGGGAAGAGTGGGAGAAGGAGGAGGTGTTCCGGGAAGAGGTTAACCACACCCACCACCCAAATACTGACTGGATCATTGCCGATTCAACTTCCAATCTCAGCCCTGATGAATTGTCCGGTCCAAGATGATCCTTCAATGGCTCTCTTGTTGGCACATATATAGAAATCTCTTGGAAGCCCATTTCATATTTGGAATTGAATTTTACCATCTTTGTGCATATGATTTTCTTCTCTCTCTGTTTCTCTCATCATTTTTCCCTTGTCAAGTTCATACCAGTTGTCCGAATTTTGACGGAACTGAATGTCCATGGGTTGCAGGTTGCATTAAGAATTTTCAATTGCACAAGCAGAAATGGCTGTGGAAGCAGCAATGTATTTTAGTTTTATGTATTCAGATAGTGAAAGTTGTTTACAAAGAATAATTACAATTGTTACCTGAAAGCAATCATAACTCTGCTGCACCTCGAGTGCATTGTAAAGCAGTTTTTTCCTTCCTCTACTTCTGGAAGATGTAAATGCTGAATCTGTAATGTAATAGTTTTTTTTTTGTTAAAAAAAAAAAAAAACCGCCAATCTTAAGGTTTAGTATTGAAGACGGTGACGATTATATCAACCACTAACCTCAATGTATACGGTAGTTAAAATATTTAAAATTTTAGTGAAATGGTACTAAAGTTCAGACACTTGAATAACCAAAGTACTTTCTCGAGACAATAGAGATTCAATAGAAAGTGATAAAATTAGGTCTTGACCAGTAAAATTAATCTATTTTAATTTTCGGTGTTATAAGAATCGGACCAGACATTAAATCTATAGAAGGATCAAGTCAATGGTTCATTGGTTCAATTGATAGATTAACTGGTTGAATCGGTTGTATAATTAAAAAAATATAAAAAATATATAACTATAATAATTTAGGTAAAAAAAAAATATAAAACATGTCCCAATGCATATAATTTACCATAAACTTAACAAAATTAAGTACTTGTTCAAAAAAAAAATAAGTACAGAAATCTTGAATTTACTTTGATTAACTACAACAATCACAAAGACCAAAACTTGGGCTGGACAGAACTTACAGAAAGTGGTTTAAGCAGTTGTGTGTGTGTGTGAGAGAGAGAGAGAGAGAGTTGCATAGCACTTAGGCGGAGAACCAAGATTTGCACGTGGACCAGAGAGAGATTGGAGAAGAAGGAGAAAGAGTTACTCCAAGCTAAGGTTTGCTGATGGACGAGACTAGTCACCACACGGTAGCGTGAAAAGGAGGAGCAGAGAGAGATCGACTGGACCAAACCTGTCAGCAGGTGTGCAGATCCACAACATTTTCTTCGTCTTTGCGCCTGGAGAAGAAGGCCTAAGAAGTGGAGAGGCGACGACGATCAAATGGATTTTGGGCAAAAAAATGGGAAATTGAATTTCAACTATCCAACTTTCAAAACTTGTCCGGTTTACGGTTTTGGTAAAAAACTGCCTTTCGGAACTCAGTCGATTTACAACTTTTGTAAAATCCAGCCGATTTAGTAGTTTTGACGCGGTTTCCTTCCTTATATGGTCTAAGTAACAAAACGAATCGAAACGTTTTGGATTTCGATTCAAAGTTAAACTGGTCCGATCTTATTGATTTGAAATTAAGAGTTACAGTTACGAAAAACATGGCTCAGGCCTATCAAGTGGGATATTAAAATTAAATTTTTTTTGATAAATGTTAAAATAATATATTTTTTCAACGGGGTTTTTTTTTATTTTTAATTTGGTAAAATTTTTTGATTACTTGAGCAATCCAATGTCAAATTTAACGGTATTCTAGGTATGTGATTATGAGCACCATCTTAAACAAAACAACATACGAAATGCATCACTTCAAATTACATTTTACCATGAAATCCATTCAATTAAGCATTCAGTTGACCAATTAGAAGCTTTTACAACTATCCCAAACAGTAGGCAAATCTATAGAAAAACACTTAAGAAAGATAGGCATTTTGAATCAACTTCCAAAATTATCAGTTTGTGATCCTTGGCTTTAAGTTTCAGTCTCCTGATGCATTCCATGAGTTCTGGTGGAAATAGTGGGATGCAAAAGTTCCATATGCATGCTCCGTCAAATTGGTTGATGATGAACCTGCCAAAAAATGTTATTGATGCAAAGAAAAATTGTAAGAGATGGAACTAATGCTTTAGAATGAACTAATTAATCAAATGCGTACTTCAAAATTGTTACCTCGATAAAATGTTGGATACAAGTTAAATTCATGTCCCAACATATTTGGATGAAATTGACGAGTTTAAATTTAGATCAGGCCTAGGCCCAATTCATGGGTTGAACTCAAATCATCAAAAGACAGATCAAACTTGGCTTATGGTCTCAATTCAATTCAAAGCGCAAAAGTCTAGCAAGAGTCAAAGCATGTGGGACAGCAATCATCCCAATAGCTATTACTCCAAAATAGTGTTCATCTTCAATTGTAGTTATCTTCTCCAATAAATTAGTAGTTTGACCTTCACGTCACCTCCTCAGTTGAGACTATGTGCCTATAAATTATAAATCTCTTACACATAGACAGAGCTATATCTCACATAGAGATCACAGACATCTCACCTTAAGCGTAATCTTGTTCTCCCTCTCACCACATCTTGAGCTTGTTCCTGCTCTTTTCACCACACCTTGATCATGTTCCTGCTCTATTTCATCTATTACTTTATTCTCTCATTAATAAAGTTCTTCGATCACCGTCACCACTTTCAGTGGTTAGGTCACACAAACCTAACCGTTCAATTTTTGTCTCTTATTATTAATTGTTTCATTAATTACTTGCATTATACACTCGATTGGTTGATAGTGTGACAACCCTTATTAAAATTAATCACTAACATGTTATTTAAGTCGTTAATTATAATTTTATATAATCAATGATCATTTTTAGAAATTTCAAATGAACAAATGAACCTTAAATATAAATTTTTTACGTGAAAACGAGTTGAATGATTATAATATATATCATATTTCATATTAAAATAAAAATATTATAGTATCCAAATGGTTGGATAATATATGTGTTATATATGAGATACATATATAGTATATACACTATACAAGTGTCAAATGGGTGGGGATGGCGTGGTGTTCAAGTGACAAGTGTTTTTTGTATATATACAAAAAAATAATAACCACATAAATTGGACAAGTGTCCACTTACTTCACCATGCTAATGTAAGTCAACTTACGTAATGGCCTTGTAGGCCAAATAAAGCCTTCATGTGTTGGCTATAAATAGCTGCCTCTACCAGTGAGCAAACCATGGGAATAACAAAGGAAGAAAGAGAGAGACATAGAGGAAGAAATACAAAAACTTATGAGATTTTACGGTTAAAAATTGAGAAATAATTTTATTTTAGTTCGCTATCAAATTTGAGTATTTTGTCAATGGTACTTTGAATTTCACATCTATTAGGTTCATTGATTATTTTAAGGTACAAGGTAATATACAATATGCTCATGTCTTTTACATTTCTTTGCGAAGAATGTTATTTGATTATTTGAAATTTGTATTCCTATTGATTATTATGATTAATACGAAATTCTGTCAATTTTATAGGTTGACCTATATTTTGGACTAAATACTTTGGGATTGATTAGTACATGTACAAAGTGGGCTTGGGGCATAATTGATAAAATAAGATTATGGCTCTGCGGGGTGCAATTGTGATTACAGCTCTGCAGCATGTAATTGGTTAGTATGCGTATGTATTTATATGTCTAAGTATGGCTTGTCATGTCACCAAGAAGAACCGAGTATGAGTTTATGTTTGATAGCTGGTGAGCTATGTGACCTGTCGAATGCGATTATTGATTTTGTTATCCATGATCCTTATCATCTAAGTTATTTGGTATATGATCATTCGTATTTTTTGTTTATTGTTGAGCACATTGTTTATTGTCATACGATATACTTCTCCACCTTTAATATTTTTTTAGGATGATCTAGGAGGGAATGACCAGAGTTGATATTTGATGAATTGAAGATGGACGAATCTTAATATAATTTTTAAATTTTATTGGTATTTGGGAGATCAAAATTGTGATTATAATTGAGGCAATTAAATAATTTGAATAGATACATTTGTAAATTATGGAGAGAATTTTTTTTATCAAGGTAATTAGAGCTTTGATCCATGTACATTTGGAGATATATTTATGATTTGTGGTATTATGGTCGATTAATTTAATCAAGTAACGTGTCCCAAAAACAGAACGTTACAGATAGTGCATACATCCACTTTTGTGCATTATTAGAAATGAAGGGGTGAAAACTTTATCCTTGTAGCATATTCGACTGTTGAAATGGATTCATCTCATTGATCATCGGTTGGCCACTTATGTTTGGCCGCATGGGTGACTGATTTATATCACAACTTCATCCACCCATATGTATGGAATTTTGTTGTATTCCGAGAACACCAAGATCATTTCCAAACTCCTCAAAATCTTACAAAAGCCCGAATCAACCAACAAATGTTAGGCCAGAGTGATGGGCTCATTCGAATAATTAGTGATCCCCGGGCCTACCTAACATAGATGCCACTGAAATAGGGGATTGGTTGATCTGAAAGCTCAGGCAGGAGTAGGACATTCCATACAAATCTTTTTGATCCGTTAGTTGGTCTTCCTCTCAAATTCCATTTTTTCGTCAACTGGTAGGGTGAATTCTAATGTTCCTTATTCCGGTTGTAAAACGAAACAAAAGAAGAGGGAGAATAGGCACAACTAGCCCCATTAGCAGCCTGCGTTTTCGATCCGGAAGGAATTAAAAATGAAAGAAGAATCCGTGTGCACTATCTATGGAGTGGAGTGACTATCCTTAATCTCCTCTTCCCTATCTCCCCTTTTTTTTGCCTTCGGCTATTACCGGCTGGCAACGCTTGGCCTAACATTGGATTTGTTTGAAAACAACAAAGATGACGTTCATTCAATCAAATCTTTTATACCAGCTCAAACTAATTACTATCTTTGGAAAAGAAGGGAACAACCCCAAGATCATTCCCACATGGGCTTGAATTGTTAAAATTATCAATGAGGCTGGGTTGATTTCTTACACATGCAACATCATCTTTTTTAAGCTCCTCTTTTA